TGGAAGACGGAAAGAAATGACTAGAATGAAGATCAGAGATGGCAAAAGGTTGAACAGTGAAAATGAATGAAAAACATTCAGGATGGTCCCAGGAATGCCTAATGGGAATTCAAGAAGGTAATACAGTGAGACCAAGAGGGTAGAGACACCAAGCCTCAGAGTCAGGAAGCCGAGTGAGTCACAAGTAGGGGACACAGAAATGAGGCAAACATGCCTGACATGGCTTAAGGAAAATGCTGAACAAGGAAAACAAAGTCTTACCAGGAATCACAATTCACCCTGACAGTATCTTTTCAATAGTAAAAATGGAATTCATACACAGTGAAATGTTTTTTCAAAATGGGAAGAGAACATCATTTTTTACCCATCAGAACTACCTTTCAAGAACAAAAGCAAAATACATTTCTAAGCAAATAAAAACTAGGGACATCTACTATTAATAGAATCTTGATTAAGGAATTTATAAAGAATGTGCATCAGGAATAGAGGGAAGAATTAGGAAAAAATCTGATACACAAAAAAGGAATGAGGAGGGAAATTGGTAAAACTGTGGGGAAATCTAAAAATATTGACAACATAGTGTCAATGCCTAATTTGTGGATTTTTTAAAAAATTCAAAGCTATACCTCAATAAAACTACCACAAAACATCAAGGTAAAACATAAATCCTGGACTTTGAATCTTATATAAGAGGAAAGAGGTGGTTGGGTTAAAACACTTTAAGAGTACCAGGTTGCTTAGCTAACATGTAAAGACACTAATTTTGTCCTGTGTTAAGTTAAATATAAATATTAAATTTTTTAATGTAAATACTTTAAAAAAGAATATGATGTCTAAATTCTAAACTATTATAGAGAGAAACAGATTTAGGGGAAAAAAGCAACAAAAGAAGACAAGGAAAACTATAAAAATAAACAGAAAGAACAAACTGAAAGCATAAAAATAGAGTGATAGAAAAGAATCCAAATATAACAATAATCACAATCAGCAAACTAAACAATCGAGTTAAAAGAAAATGATTGTGAGACTGACAATCTGACATTTCAAACAGAGTTCAGGTATATTCTGTTCACCAGAGATTTACCTAAAAAGAAGGTAGAAATTTTTAAAAAAATGAAAAAAAATAAAACCTGCCGAATTCACACTGTAAAGGTACTTGTGTTCCCAGCAGCCAGAGAGAAGCTTAATGTAACAATCCCAGTCTTTGCTAAATTTGAAATAATTTGTACACACACACACACACACACACACACACACACACACACCTCAGTACATCAGGGATTGGGGGTGAGAGGGTAGAAGGGAAAGGTAAGGAATGGAGAGGAAAAGGGGAGGGAGGATGTGGTGTCTGCTTTTCTCCCTTGCCTGAAGGACTGACCAAGTTTAGGTCCTCTCTTGCCACAGGAAACCTCAGCGGTAAGGGAAACAGCCAGAGGCAATTTAAATTTAATGTCCTGAAAACTCCTAGGCTCTTTTGGGTCTTAAAATGCTTCACTTACCCTCTGAAACACATGTAGTAACTGATGGGTTAGTAGGGGAAAACAAAATAAGAAAAATACCACCATGCTGCATCTCTATGTAAAAAAAACATCATATTCATAGGCATCTAGTCAGTGAAGCATTTTAATGCCTAAATTCTCTTTCTTTTGAGGATAGGAAATTAGTTTCCACATTCATCAGCAAGCATATCCTTTTTCTTTTCATAAGGACAATCTTGCCTTCCTTGAAGTTTGAACATTAATTTTACTAATTAATTAGGCTTGGGGGTGAGTTTTATAAGATTTTGAACCTTAAGCCAGCTTTGGGCTGCACATGGGCATTTATAACATTATTTATGATTTAATACATTAAATACTTATATAAGGAGTATTTATGTTGTTTTAATTCTGATTTTCTCAAGACTATCAATAACAATTTAAATCACAAAAACTGTTTACAACTTTTTAAGCATACACACTGAGTAAAGGTACACCTAAATTACCAAGGAGTCTGACTCTCCAACTATCCAGCTTTAGCATCTTTATTTAGATCATTCCCTTTATTAGAACCTGGCCGACTTGCTGTCAGATTACAGTGCCAAGTCTACAAGGTTAAATACCATGGACAGCTGCTTTCTAGGCCAATGACAGCCTTGCACGGTAGCAGATCAACGGGATCCCAGCAGTCAGGCCAGGCACTCAGCAAAATGTGCTTGGCTGTCCTGAAATTCAACTGCTTTACATCCTGCAAGATGCAAGTTTATTCCCAGCTAGCTATAATGGATTTTAAGAAGAGGGTCCTARTCATTTATAAAACAACCCTGAAAACAAGTCTATTAGTACAGGTATTATTAAACCTTAGTCAATGTCCTCCTTATTTCATGAAAAATTCTACAAAATACTTTCAGGACCAAAAAAAGTCATTTGGAGATTTCTTGGGAGTTTACAATAATACTTAAACTGCATATATTCACCACATGTGAACTGGGGCATGTGAATATTGTAATATGACAGATATTTTATAGTCTCTAAGGGGTATGACCGCCTGCTTAACTCAGTGATTTGTTGCAGTAAATTCAATCTTTAAGGAATGATTTATAATCTCAAATCTAAAGTAATTGATTCCGATTCATTTTCATTTAAGAACAGAACATAAAAGGAAAGGAACTTATATTTATTGAACAATCCATATTTGCCAAGGACTTTGTTAAACACTTAACAATAATGTCTCTTCATTTAATAGTTTCCCCAAACATATAAAGTAGGTATTATTACTCTCATTTTCCATATTAGGAGCTTGAGGCTCAGACAGTTGAAATGACTTCTCCAAGGCCTCTGGGCTTATTATATGGCTAGGCTTAAAATCCTTTCCTCCCTGAGTTGAAGCTCCAGGGTCTCTCCACCATATACACTATACAACAAGTACTTGGGGCTGAAAGGGAAATAATATAGTGAACATATCTGGTGGTGGTGAGGAAGCATAAATAGGAGAAATAGTTATGAATATAACATGCTTTCTTTTTTGATTAGGGATGTCCAAAATTTCCAAATTAAAAAACAAACAGTATTGAACATAGTGGAAAATTATGGATTGTGTATAACTGCTAAGGAATGTCAGTCTGAATTGCTGAGTAAATTATCAGAAAAATGACTCTACAGCAACCTAATTGAATAGTTAAAGATCTTGCCAGGACTACTTTAAAGAATGACATAGAATTGATTAAATACAGCCTGTAACCTCTATTTAAAAAGTTATTTCCCAAATGCATGAAACTGGCTCCCCACTCCCACTTCTACTAAAATCAAAACAAAATCCTGCAATCCTGTATACACCACTGGATTGCTCTGCAAATTTCTTCCTCACAAATGTTGCTAATATAAGTTAATGAAATTCCACTGTAGTGTAACAAAACAAAAAAAGTACTGAGATCTCAAAAAGACTTTCTACTGTTGATGTGCCCAAGATATTTATAAGATACCAAATCATGTCCTTGCCTCTAAAGTACATACCTTTCTCTGACAGCTGTTCAGTACTCTGATTGGAAAAAAACAGACTACTTATGCAAACCAGTTAAATGGGCTTTAGGAGAGGGTTTGAGGGATCTTCCTCTTGGTTACCAAGATAGAGAGAGGAAAGAGGCTCCAGGGATAGCCCTATCTTATGTCCTGAAGGGTATGTACTCAGTTGTCACATCTGAATGATGTTTGCCAGATATTTTGCTAAATATTTGAGATGTTAAAAAAAAATGTTAGTAAAAACATTTCTCCTTTGCATGTAATAAACAGAAATAACTTCCATATTATTTCTTTCTATAATTTCTCCCTACATATTCTTAGTTTTTTTTCCAACACTTTACTTCTATTTCATAGCTGCTACAAAAATGATGGTCATTAAAAGTGACTATTATATAAATTTAGCTAAAATAATGATATATTTAAAAAAATTTCTTTTTGGAAAAATATCTTACCCCTTACTCAAGTATCTGTTTTATACATAAAGGAGAATTTTCCCAGATGCTAGTAAGAAAGAATCTGTATAAGTACCTGGGTTTTTCTGTTTAAAATCATGTTCAGAGATGACATTCTTTGTTAGGAAATGAATCAAAGCTTCATTATGACACGACATAAAATTTTATTGACTCTGCTTATTCATTATTTTTTTAAATTTTACATTTTTGATAATCAATTTCTTAAGCACTTTACCAATCTGCTTTCCAACTAAGCAGTAGGATTGGCACTATCATCATTAAAACTTCCTCAAATTCTGTAAAAATATGTTGAGTCACATTTCTTGTGGTATACAAAAAAGGGTCATTGCAATACAGACACAGGTGGCAGGGCTGTCTATTTGCTCTCTGGATGGTGAATGCTGATCAGATCCCAATCAAGTGATCTGAAATATTATCTATGGATCAAGAAAAATAATGGGTTTGGGGATGGGCTCAATGGGAGAGTGCTTGCCTAGCACATGCAGACCCTGGGTTCAACCCCAGCACTACAAAATAAAATAAAATTTAAAAAGAAAAAAAAAAAACAGCCATGACCCCTCTAGTGACTATACTTGCTGGGCCCCAGACTGCTGATTTGAAGGTACAACTTTGATGAAGCAAACTTTCTGCCCTAAACATTTTCAAAGAGATGCTTCTTGATAAATATCACCTGTCCATTTAAAAATCAAGAGCCCTACAATTTGTTAGGAACGTATACACTTTCCTATGAAAATTAAATCGCTCACAAAATCATTAAGCTTAGTTTCCTAAAAATAGAAGACAAGTAAATGCTGAGCTGGCTATGGGGTGCTTACGTAACCTATATGTTCAAGTGTTTTTGCTGTGAAGCAAGTAGCTTAGGAACTTGGTAGACATTTAGAAGAATGCCAAGTTATTTTTTCTTACGCCACTGGTAGTCTGGATATCACAAAAATGCAGAATGCAACCACAAACACCATCACATTAAAAAAGTTGCAGATCTCAAAGACATAATTATGGTCAAGAAAAGCATTAAATAAATCCCATTACCAACCTTTGCTTGGGCCTCTGGTGCTGTCACCTTGACGACTTTATTGCGATTTATCATTTGCTTCACCCATGTTTCCACTTGGACGTTGAATTTCATGAAAACCACATAGCCAAAATAAGCTGTCAAGAGGAGCAAGCTTTCCCACCACATGATAAAATTATCCAGAAAAAATATAATCAGCATGATCAAGTCAACGATGTAGAACGACACATCCCGAAAGAGCGGCCACCATGTCAGGTTTAGGATTTCTCTAGAAAACAGAGCACACATGCCAATAACGAAGAGGATATTGAACACTGCTGAACCTACAATTGTGCCTATGCCAACATTGCTGTGAGCAATGAACACCCCTATGAGAGAAGTGAAAAGTTCTGGGGCTGAACCGCCTGCAGCCATAAAGGTGGCTCCAGCCACATCATCGGAGATGCCCAGCTTCTCGGTGATGACCGTCAAAGAAGGAACAAAGAACTCATCGCAGACAATGGCTAAGGCTATGAACATGTAGATCATTCCTATGACGTGGAGGATGATGGCGCCTTTTCTCCGATCCTCAAGGGAGAAGATGTCTCTCGGGTAGTCTCCTTGGGCATGGTCTGTGCTGTTCTCAGATGTGCCTTCCTGAGAAAGAGGTGGCTGTGGAGTGTAATCCTGAATCTTGTCATTTAAATCTAAGAGAGTTCTTTGAGGGTAACTGTGTGCTACCCTCGGGCCACTGACAACACTGGCTTCCCCTGTGCTCTGTGTGTCTGTCTCAGAAAAGGCACTGATTGAAAATGGGACAGTGCTAATGGCCACCAGGCCCATGAGGAGGCCTACAATTCGAATTAACTTCAGTTTTTTCCTGACGTTATAATGTCTCCTGTAGCCAGACGGTGATTGGTTGGAACACCATTTCTCAAGGAGGGTGACAGTGGTGCTTTGGTGGAGATCCATCCTGGGTCTTCTGGTGGATGTGGTGGTCTTCAAAACTTTAAACTCTCCCAGATGTTTGTCATACTTTTCTTTACTTTTATAGTTAATGGTACTTGTGGGGCACTTCCACAATCAGGGAGTCTTAGGTTTCACAAGAAGTTTTCATCATTTATGCTTAAATTTAAAAAAAAAAGATAAGTATATTATAAAACCTTGTCTTAAAAAAAAAAAAAGAACTTTGCAGATCTGATAAAACCCTGTCTGGCAGTATATGATCATGGATAAATTACTAATTCCTCTGTGCCTTAGTTTCCTCATTGTAATTATAGCCTCAATACTCTAATGGTTTTTATTTTTATTTATTTGTGTGTGTGTGTGTGTGTGTGTGTGTGTGTGTGATGCTTGGGAGGAAAGCCAGGACTTCCTATATGCTAGGCCAGTGCTCTAACACTGAGCTACATTCCCAGCCCCACGGGATTGCTTTAGGAAGAGTTAAAAAATGCATAGCACTTAGAATAGAAAGTGTCACATAGTAGGCACTTATTTGGGTTTATGTAAGCATGAACCTAAATATACATTTTGGTAAATCTGATGTTAGGAGACATAAGTATAAAATGGAGACAGAAGTATAAACATTTTATACATGGAAATTAATTTATTCACCTTAAATCATGTAACAACATCTAATAGTAAAAAGATCAGACTTCTTTCAGAACTATCTAGGTTCTTGTCAACTGACATTTATTCACTGTGTTTTCTTCTAGTCCAATTACATAATTCCCTCTTATAGGTACATTTCCTGATTTAATCTATCATCTGGAGAGGGTTGTGTTTGGGAGAAGGTAATACTCTTTTCGTGAATACATAATGATCACAGGATCTTGTTTTTAACGAAAAGTCTCTTCTGTATCAGATACAGAAAAGTAGCCCTTTAAGATTTTAAGCAATGTTTTGGTGACATGAACAAGCTGTTTTTTTAAAACATCTAGATATGGTTTACAGATAAAGCTTTCTTTTCTTTTTTTTTTTTTTTAAAGCAACCTTTAGTGGTATTTAAAATAGCTTAATCAAACAAATCCCAAAGCAGTGAAATAACAAGTAGGCTATTTTGAGAGACCAAATGTGTGTTTCATAAACAACATGCAAGTTGCAGCAATACCTCCATCCAAAAAAATCTGCCACAAATAATTCCAACACCGACCCTGTAATAGATTAGATATCCGACTCAAGAGTTTSTATTCTCTATTCCACTAAAGAGATGGGTAAAATATCTGGACACAATCACTGATATACTGAAGGTTCCTCTTTATTTTAAAAAGCAGTACCCCCACCCCTCATCAACGATTTAATTTTAGAGGTATTCCCTGAGATCATCTCAGGTGTAAAATAAGATAATTAAACACATGCCACATAAACACTGGGATTAGCTGGAGCTCAGATTTTTAAAGCAGAGCAAAAGTACAAGTCAATCCAGGTTGACTTGCTGCTCCTCCTGAGATAACCCGAACCCGTCAGATTCCAGGCTAGCTGCGGTTGTGGATGCTTAGCACCAACGATTAAGCGACTCACAGCACTTCAGGGATTGTCACAATACCCGGCCCGGGCTACCGGCAGAGACTGACTCAACTCCAGGGGCGCACGATCAGCTCTAGCCTATCTAGGCTTTCCCTGCAAACCCACCGCTCAGCTCTCTGGGATCTATCCACAGGCGAAGTGAGCCCCCAGCCGTGCCCCAACTTTGCCTTGCGTGGTCCCAAACTTTCCCTGGTGGGTTAATAGGTAAATAAAACTAAAGGGCAGACGCTCCACCTGCAAACCGGGAGATGCATTTTGGAGTGGCTCCTGACCCGCATCTCTCTGGATTGTTTGTGGGTGGCTGGGAAGCAGGAGCGTCCCTTTGCGCATTTCCCCCCAAGGCAGGCCCTGCCAGGTGTCCCCAACTGGAACCAGAGGATGGGAAAAGCAGGGGGCTCGGAAACCACGCCCCGGAGCGTAGAGAGTTGGCTAACTCCTAGCCGGGCCTGGGGCGCCCACAWCCACCGCCGAGCCACCTGTGAGCCTGCGGCGAGGCAGCGGGATGCGCGCAATGGGGATCCGGGGACCACCACCGCGGCTGGAGGCTGGCAGGGCGCTGCCGCCCGCACTTACCGGGATCGGTTTGGAGCACTCGCACAAGCCGGGGGCAGAGCGCGCGGCCCGCCTCACCGGTCCGCCGCCTCTTCTGGTCCTCCACCTAGCCTCTCCGAGGCCCGGGCTCCAGCTCGCTCTGGTAGCCGCTCTTGGCAGCCGGGGCTGGCCTCGCGATGAGACTGAGCCGCGGCGAGCCGGGCGCTAGGCGTCTGGCACTGCCGGCCCCCTGCGGCCCCTCCCTCTCGGCGGTGCGGCTGGAGCCSGGCCGCAGCGCGCTCAGCTCCCTCCCGAGTCCCTGCTCCACGCCTCCTGGGCGCAGAGGCGACGCCCGCAGCCGTCTCTTAGGAGATTTCTCCGCAGTGGGGACGGGGGTCAGGATTAGCAGGCAAGCAAGGGCAGAGAGGAGAGATCATTTGGTCGGTGACGCGCGCCTGATTCCCAAAGCCTGAAAGTGCTGTCAACTTTGGGGTCATCTATGCTGGGCACCTCCTCTCCAGTTATCTGCAAAAATATGATACGAGTCGGGTCTGTCTTTAGGAGGCGATGTAATATGTAATGGTGGGAAAGATGCCCATTAAAAAAGCACAGAGGCTGTAGTGCAGGGTATTTGGGTCCAGGTTGCTGGAGGCTTAGGTTTGGATAGCTGGGACACTGAAAGGTCTTTATTACGTGCGTGATGAGACTAAGAGGCAAGACATGGTGTCATTTTGAGTCACTGAGAGGGTTCAGATTTTGCCTCTGGACTCCCAGCCTAGTGCTCTTTCCTGCCCTGTCTAGACAGCAAGATCCCCTTGAGTCAGTCTTGTTGGGGATTAGAGGCAGGAATTTTGACCAAAGAGTGGTAGAGCTTGATACACACCTGCTGCTGAGGGAAACCCCTTTTACCCAGGCCTGGGAAGTAATGCTCACTGCCTGAAGATTTTTAGGCTTCTGTGCACTGTGCCCACTGTCTTTGCCCTCCGTCCTTTTACTCACATCAAAGTAGGTTTCTTTAGGGGGTCAGCTCAGGCTGAGGTGATATCAGTTAAAATCCCCAAACTCACTACCACTATCCTCAGACCTGTGTGCTTGCTAAATCAAGGGAAGCCTTAGAAACTTAGAACTTGAGATTAAGCATTCAATAGGATTTCAAAATTTCAATAGGAATTCAAAACTTCTAGGATTTCAAAATCCTAGAAGTCAGAGGCCAAACTTTTGTATCTTTAGTTTGGAAAATTTCGAACTTATTCAAATATTAGAAAATATAATGAACCTTTATGGGGTCATGGTAATCTTGCAAAATTATCAACTCGTGGTAGACTGTATTTTATACCTATCCCTGTGCCAACACCTTTAAACAAATCTCAGACATCATTATTTTACTGAAAGACGTCAAATATTTATGGAAAGCACCAGAGCTATCAACTACTATTAGCAATGTATCAAAAAGAAACCATCCAAATAGGCTCCCATTGATCAAAGATGGGCCAATTCAAGCATCAAAGATAATTACAATCGTTTCAAACACATCAAATATAAGTTCATAATTTTTCCAAAAACAACTCAACAGATTGATAACTGTTAATGGTGAAGAAGGAACCAACTCATTGGTTTCAGAAAAAAAGAAAACAAATCAGGCATTTATTCTGCCTTTTGTATACAAACTAGACTTGAGRGCAATCAATTAGGTTTTACTTAAGTTACCCTTCCTCTGTCTTTCCTTTCCTGGTTTAACAATCCTAATCCTTCAAGGCAATAGATGCTTCTGAATACATAGGGAAAGGGTGGAGGTATATTGTACCAARTTCTGCTTAAAATACAACTATTATTATATATTTTCATGGTTTTTTTTTTTTGTTCTCAACTACATCAGACCTTCTCTTACCAAGATCTTTATGAATGTCATTCTGCTCATTCCCACCACTGCCCTGCAATGACTCTGCATCATTTTGTGGAAAAGAGAATGAGACCCAGTAAAGACTTCATGAATCTGCAGGTTGTATTGGTTGGAATTTGCACTTGGCTGCTTATAGTCACCTTCTAGAAAATTAAAGTTCTCTTAATCACAGAGAAGGGAGAAATAAATGTTGAATGAGCAACTAATATTATTCATACAGTTTCAAAGCATCTCAGTGAGATCTACAATGGACTGAAGATTTTGCAGTTGATCAAGAACTTGGCAATCAACTTCCATGACTGTTGAGAGGGTTGGAGCGATCATCCCTGTAGTAAAGGAGAGACACATGGCTTGGCATCTATCCAACTTACATGCCATGGAAGAACAACTGAGTAGCTGATGTAGGTCTCCCAGATCCACAGAAATTATGGCCTGATCATGAAGAAAAGGGAACTTCATGGGAAAATTTGCTAACACCACAGATGAGTAAAACAGTAACACTGACCAACTCCTCCCTAACAGATTCAATGGTGCAAGCATTGGGCCTCTTTGTATGAACTATTAAAGAGCCACTTCTTTAGTTTTTTTTTTTTTTTTTTAAGTAAGGTTGCTGTATGAGTATCAACATTAGTAGCATTATACTTACCTTCTATAAAATGGATGATTTGTTTGAACTTAAGAGTTTATGAGAGTTATTGGTAGTTATCAGTTAAGAATGCTAGGCTCTTTCCATAATTCTGGAGAGGATTTTCAAAACTCCATAGCTTTAAAAATCATGGGATCACACTTAAGCTAATAAAGAGTTATAATAATTATTAGCAATTTTCTTATTGTTTTTGATTTGACAGTTGGTCTAAAAGAAAAGGCAAACTAGTAAATTATGACGAAGGGAAGGTAAAGAGAGTCAGCTGAATCAGGATGTTGCGGGCAATTTAGGAACAAGATGAAGTGTTCAGATTTTACTTTGTCAGTTTAACCACCTCTTTCTTCATTCTCTCCACATATATCACCTTTCTTTCTGTCTTTTGTATTAGTCTCTAGCCTCTCTGTTATCAAAATCTGCATG